GAGAGAGAGAGAGAGAGAGAGAGAGAGAGAGAGAGAGAGAGAGAAAAAGCAAGTATAATGTATAACTATCAATTAGCATTGATTAATTGTAGTATATGTAGAGATAATACAATAATGAGTACACAATAATTGGTTCTGCTGTCATGTTTTCATTGCGTTGTCCAACTTCGACCAAAGAAGAAAAAAAATGAAGAACAAGAGATGCTTTAAAAAAAAGAACTCTTGGTGTCTCTATGCCCTTAATCGACATAATTATTGAGATCATTTAAGAGGCCGACTTCCGACCCTGTCTGTCAAGGCCAATCTGGGCTGAAAGGGACACAGCCCATAAAGAAAAACCGAGATACTCGATGAAGATTTTCTCCCCACTGAGGGAATCGAACTCGAGTCTCCAGCGTGCGACAATAAAGTGCCTAACCGCTACACCACAGACGCGCGCTGGTAAGGAGAGAAAAGGACGACAGATGTTTGAAAGGAAAGACGAAGCAAACCACACCACAGTGTATGCCAATCTCCCACTTCGTGCATACCGATGGTTCGAATGAGAATAGTTTTTTTTTTTTTTAAATAGTTTTCGTGAACGTTTTACGGCACTTCCAACACAATAAGGTCATATAAGTGCCGAAGAATAGATGTGCTACAAGAGAGTAACATACACAAAAAAGAAAGAAGAGAGATAAGGACTATAAGGACGACAGATATTTGATCGGAAAGAAGGAGAAAAACCACACCAGAGCACCCACGAATATTTTTAGAAAAATTATTCTCATTCGTATTTTCCTTTTTCCTCTTAGAGTGTTTCCTAACACCCCATACCGGCATGTTCTGCCTAAAATTATTGAAAAAAAAAGTAGATACGTCCCCATCGACACGAAATATATAATTTTATAGGCGCACTTCGACCCTGCATATCAGGGTATAGTGGTAAGACATTTCGCCGTCGCACACAATAGACCTAAAGCTCAATTCCTTGAAGGTAGAATTTTCATCGAGTATCTCTTCTTTTCTCGAGGGGACGTTGTTTCCCTCTCAGCTCAGATTGGCACTGATAAATAGGGTCAAAGCTACACCCGAAGGCAATCTTATTCATTAGTGGATCAGATTTCCTCATAGTTTACACATACAATAAGCATAGTAAGAAGTCTTAAAGTCCGCCACCAAATTCGAGAACAAAAAGTTTCATTGTCGTGGAGACGGCGGCCATATTAGATTTTGTTGACATGTCTTACACAATGAACACCGTACTTATTTTTCTTGGAAATAGGTTGTTATTTTGCATGCATATTAGTAGACAATAGATCTATAAATACATCTTCTTGAATTTTTTCTAAACGAAATAAGAGATTTTTTATGAAATTTTTTTCTGAGGTAGTATAGACGCACTGAAAAAAAGAACATGTTTTCTAATTTAATAATAATAATAATAATAATAATAATAATAATAATAATAATAATAATAATAACAATAATAAT